AGTACTCTGTCGTTCACGCGTTGAATCTCGACACTTTCCAACCCTCTCAGATCGCATATGCACCAATATGCAGCGCAGTCGTGACAGCGTTGTCCTATCACTTGGCATTCTGCCATCGCGTATGCGATCGCGTACTGTGAACGTTGCCTCACTAGCAAGCAAACTTTGTGGCGCCGAGATTCTCCGGATACCTAGTTACAAGCTGTAATTAATGGTAAAGGTAGAAGGAGTAATCGAATACCCGGTCATCTCGTTTGTTCGAGAAGGCATAGATCATTTGTATAATATTCTTATGTTTTTCTCTACTGATTCCGGTAAGAAATATCATTTCAAAATTGCGATCTTTACTTTCTGAAAAACAGTAAGATTAGGAAAAAGGAAAACTTAAAAGAAATTGCTGGAAATTCGTGGAATGGAGCCTCATTTAGGCAGCTGCACAAAGCGGGGGACGAGCTTGCGGATGGGAGAGGTGCTGATTGGAAGAGTTAACACCACGGCGAGCATTCTACCAACAACCATGCTTCTATTGGAATGATATTCTTCTATTTTATAAGCCGCTAACTTGCTGTGTCGGTTTGTATGTCTGAATGTGTGTATGCTCCCTTTCTAAAACAAGAAAGAGCGTCGGTGCAGACCACACACCACAAGTGACGACGGCCTCCACAAATGTAAATGTTTTCTGCCAATGAAATGATTAGCCTGTTGCAGTTGTATTCTATCAGTTGTCACTAATTACAACTATCATTTACCAAAAATCAGCTATCACTATGAACCACTACTAACCAGATTTACTTGGAGGCCGTCGTCACTTGTGGTGTATGGTCTGCACCCAACGCTATAGGGCCGTATGCTATCCTTCCCCGAAGCTAGGTGATCCAAAGTTTCCTTTAAATTTATTTGTTTTGAACGATATAGTTTCTTCATTTTCAGTGCATGTTTACTTTTACCTACATACATACATTAAATGTAGGCCCTTTCATCAGGGCAATCCCAGTTGGGAAGACAGAGAAAACCCCTAACCCCTTCGGGGAGGATAGCATGCGTCCCTATGTATGTTTGTCTGTCCGTCCGCAAAATGAAGTGAGTGATAAGGCAGCTAATGGAAATAAACAACCGCTAACAGAATCGGGTAGCTCGCAGGAACTGAGCTAAGTGAAAGATCATTGTGATAAAACTCCTACGGCTACATAAACTACTACTTAGCGCAATCTCAGTCACCCCGCATTTCGCTGCCGTGGCGCTGGAAAGCAGTGGAGGGGGAGGGATGCGATCAACCAGTCGGTAGCAGACCCAAGGTGCAGTGATGCACTGACGGTGCATTTTAACCGTCATGTCGATGATTTGTCGGTGATGCCCCTATGCATATGCAACTCCTTGTGCATATGGTCACCTGCATGAGGGTGATGCACATGTGGAAAAGCCACAGCGGAACGTGTAAAGGCTACGAATGGGACGGCGAAGGTCCCAGGACCTTTTCGGCCGTGAGAAGATAACATCAGGAGCATACTGCCTTTCATGGGATAGCGTTCGTTTGGATATGAAAAGCGCATAATGGAGCGTTAGCAGTAGAGTTTGGCGACGCGTCACGGCGAGTAGGCGAGTAGGCGAGTAGGCGATCAGGCGAGTAGGCGATTAGGCGGGAGCACCACATACGTATTGATTGGTTTGCTCCGCCCATAGAACGTTGTAGGCGAGTAGGCGAGTAGGCGATTAGGCGATCGCTCGATGGGCGGAGCATCAAATCAATACACATCCTTCTCTTATCGCCTACTCGCCTACTCGCCTATCGCCTACTCGCCTAATCGCCTAATCGCCTAATCGCCTAATCGCCTAATCGCCTAATCGATACGTATACTTTTCTTTTTGAATCATCGCCTAATCGCCTAATCGCACGTACGATCGCCAACTATGAACGCTCCATAAAAGAAGATGGCAGTATCAGTATCCAACACGCTTCTGTTATCACTTAACCATGGGAAGGCGAGCAGAGGCACAAACCCGGTCAGCGGGACGTTCAGAGTATGTAAGACCGCTAATCGGCGTCTACCTCAGTCGCATTTGTCCGCATGTCCCGTTTATAAGACAATGGCGCTTGAATGGCTGGTGAGCGGAGCGATTAAAGACCATCACGCGAGAGGAATTAGTAGGCGTGGCCGCACTAACTCCCTAGCGCCCTTCCACCAATTGACGTTCAAAGTAGCCTCCGATCACAGCCCCTGATTCGCTGGCCTGGTGAATCGCTTCAGAGCGCGACTACTGCTAGAATATCACATCGTCTGCAGTACAACAAGCTTCTCTTCCACTAGGAGATATTACTCTACCAGCTACCGAATTATCATGCCTACTGCCGAGCTAGGGTGAACTGCAAGGGAAAATTGACTTACCTGGCCAAGTTTTCTTAATAGCGATTTCTCTTGGTGCCGTACCTGGGGACAACAGTGTGCCTCTGGAAACCTGGTCACAAATCAGAATGCATATTTCTAGGAGACGATGCAGGTGAAACAACATGAAAGTCCATCCATAGAAATCTCTTCCTTGCCGCCCGCATGACACTGGAACACTGCTATAGAAAGGGACTTATTTGCTTGGGCGACATTTAGAAAAGGGCTGATTTTAGCTGATCACGAGGACTAAGCCAGGAAAGGGGAGAAGCGTCAGGAAAACCCTGCCTTCAGATCCTCCTCTCTTCAGGCTATGATTAGTCCCAAGTGCTGTCAATGGCTAACTTACTTGAATGTTCCCCGAACGACATGAGCGCCCTTGACCCTCACCTGTAAACATTACTAAAGACTCCGTTAGCATGTAAGTGTAAATTTGCCATTCTAAGCTTCACATTTTTCATATCTGGCATTTCCTTGGCAGGCTGAAATCATTCATTAAAGGGAACTGAGACAGAAACCATTGATGCCTACCTGTTCTACGATCTTGTCGTTCATGTCGGTGAGTACGCAATACGTCGACCTCCCACGAGTGTTAAAACTAAGCAACTGAGCCTCCACCGGATGAGGGTCGTTTACATGGGCAGTATTTGTTGTCTAGAAAATGACTATCAGAATTTATCAGGCAGTTCCCATCTTTCAACAATGGTTGAAGTGAAGCGGCTAGTCTTCCAAGGTATAAAAAAGCCTGTAATAAAATCTGCCGCGCATCTCTTTGACCCTGTTGATCGGTCTATGCTTGGGAATGAGCCATGCACCCTGCTCTATCCGAAATAGTTGTGTGACACGATGGATCTACGGGAACAACTGAGCTTATGTTTCCAATTATCGAGTGTGGTCGGAATAGAAAAGCTAGGTTTAACAAAGTGGGAATCAAAGCAAAACACCAAATGAGGTCCTGTGGAGGAATTTTTCTGCGGGTGGTACAGAGTTAGCCCACTAGTATCACATATGCCCCATTATCGCAGTTCGAAAGTACGGGACGGTGTCGTTTGGCCTTGCAAAGTGATCTGATAGCGACCAATGTGAACTTACTGACGATACACCTCGCGCAAACCCCGTGATACGCAGCATAGATTAGTGGGATAGGTAGTGGATAATTCCAATACGCGGGGGATAATGGAGCCTTGGAGCAAGTAAGTTCAGACAACTCGCCAGGAGGCGACTCTGTCTCATTTTTGGGGAGAAGAGAGAGATCTACTGATGGCTTCAGCGGCGGTTTCCTTCGTTCTTTTTTCAATTTTAGTTCGGCATCCACACTTTCATTATGGACAGCAGTTACACCACCAATTTGATCTGGGGGTTGTTGATTGGCATATGTAGTAAGTGGGCGCAATTTCCTTTTCTCCCACCTCCAATTAGCGGATCATCTCAAAAATTCTACGCAGTGCTCGTACTCTTCTGGCGTGCATCAGTGTGCCTCAAAGGCACGTTTCTGATAAGAAATGCTATTTCACTTGCAGATCACAGTTCTTTATAAATCGCGTTTACTCAATATAGCAAAGTTAAGCCGAAAGAAGAGCATTCCGCTCAATACTGGCGCTTTTAAAAAGTTTCTCAAAGACATGTCCCAGGATCACATTGGTGTGGCTCTTGTACACGAATGCGAATGTATTGGTGGAAGTGGGCCGGCAGTAAAGAAAAAAGGAAAAGAATCCGTCAAAAACGCTCAGGTTAAGGGCTCACTCACCTTCCTAATCGGCTGTGCTAAGGGAATGAGAGACTAAGCGCGGAGAGGAGAGGGCGAGAGAGCGCTACAGATGAGAGATCGCCAGACAACAGCCTGATAAGAGAAAAAAGTCTGCAGCTTGGGCAGCTTACTTTGCAAGGCCCAAGCGCTCTATCGGCTGGGTTCCGGTGCAACGGAGAACGGCCACATCTATGAATTTGTCCTCTAGTGCGTCTATCTTTCAGGGCGAGAAGAGAAGCGTTAACAAGAAATCTGCCTGAGTTGTGCCTTTAATGATCACCTAGAACCGTGATTACTTTTTAGTATATCTGTCCCACCTCCTAATTATTTACCCCTTTCGTATTTTTATGTGTTTCTCTTTCCAGTTTCCATGTTGTTATTTCTCCAGTGTTTTTTAGTTTCGCTGGTTACTTTTTGTTTTCTGATGTTACACATGAGACACCTCATGTAATAATGTAAATATAATATTCATCAAACACGACAGTGAAGGTGTGAAGCTGGTCGCAAGGAACCCTATTCAATGACCTGATTGATCTTCTACCCCTCTGAGCAGTTCTATCCTACTTACGGGAAATCCATCAGCTTATTTGCTGGATGGCCAAATTCCTGTCAATAGGTGCAATGCTATACTTCTTTCTTGAAGGGCTCTCCACGACAGGGAAGACCCCATGTGCTCAAATTCCAGGGGCGGTATTCAATCTCAGGACGAAAATCCCTTTAAATTTTCTCTGTCTTCCCAACTGGGATTGTCCTGATAAAGGGCCTAGGTTTAATGTATGTATGTATGTCACAGTAAACATGCATTGAAAATGAAGAAACTACATCGTTAAAAACAAATAAATTTAAAGGGATTTCCGTCCCCCAACCCCTGGGGGAAGGATTGAATACCGCCCCAGAATGGATCATCAATGGGC